CCCTCACTATGTAACGGAGCCGATCAAAGGAGCCCACAGAGATTGATCCAATGTGTCGGCAGATGCTGTTTCAAGACTAATATGATCTAACAGAAGATTTTTATACTGAATAATGCTAAGATTATTTTTATTTTTCCAATTCAGGAGTATGGTTTTCTTTGCGATGCATAAGGCAGTGAAAATCATGCGACATGTATTTTTTTCCAGGGTAACATCTTCCAAGATAGCCAATAAGCAAACAGATGGAGAGAGTGGAATATTACATTTCAGACATTTAGACAAGTCTTCACAAACCTGGACCCAGAACCTCTGAACGGGTGGGCAGAACCAGAGTGCATGGATATAATCATCAGGAATATTGCCTGCCGTAAATAGACGTTTAACGTATGATCTAAGGTCGTTTTCACACTAGATAGTCCGGTAGACTCGGTTCGGGACCAATATTCATGAGCTTTTGTTTACATTTGAGCTGGTGAGTTTGCATTCACACTGCACTGTGCTGTCGAGTCAACCTGTTGAACCAACCTATTCCCCCGCTCGCCTGAGGGGGCGTTGCACCAAGAACTACTGAAAGAAACTACGCAAAACCTCTGAAGACACGTCGTCTTCTTCTTCTGTAAATAAAAATAAAAACGAAGTGGCATCAAGTTTTAGCAGTTTTAGGAGTTATATTTTGTCATTTTTCAAAAATGGACTTAGCATGAGCAGAAGATGAGACAGAAGACCATGGAGAATATTGTTTTTCCACACAAGGCAGCTGACGGTTCCATATAAGGTCAGAGAAATGCGTGTTTGTTTACCCTGCGGAGCGGGGCTCGGTCTGTTTACATTCACACTGTACTCGAACTGCGCTGGAGTTCGCTTCTACCGGACCGAGACCTAGGTTTTAGCCCAGGCCAGAGTTCGCCTTTTTGTTCCATGACAGAGTTCGATGGCGCGTTCACACCTCCCTAAACGAGCCGGACTTTCAAGGAAAACAAGCTAAAGTTTGATTAAAGCGGACTAAACAGGGCTAGTGTGAATGCACCTTGAGTCTCATGAGGTTTAAAAATCATTAATACTGTTTCACATTTGATTTAAATGAGTGGTTTACTTCAACATTAGAAATATTATGAACTAAACACACTTTTGATTATCAAGATATTGTAAAATAGTAATGATAATATAAAAAAGAAGAGTGTTCTTTCAATTGATTAATTCAGGATACAATTAAATAGTCTCTTGATGAGGTAATTTGTATTTCTGGATTCAAATCAATGAAATAACAGTTCCTGTCCCCTGAAGGTCCTCAGAGACAGATTGATGCCGGAGGTCTAGTTCACTACACAACAACCGAGTTTTTGTTTTTATTTTTCCTGCGAAGAGAAGCTGTCCTCCCACCAGAGGTGGACCGGTTTCAAACAAGCATACACCTTGGCCCGAGGTGCAGGAGGTTGTCGAAGAGAGCTATGTTGGAGCAAATATTCACTTGAAATTGTCCTCAGTTCAACTTTATTAACATGCAATATGTTTCACATCATCAACAAAGTTTAAATCACAAAACTATATATTTTAAGGCTTTGTAAACCCCACACTCCTGCACTGTTCCAAACTCTTAAACCTATGCAATGCAATTTTAACAACATGCGTACATGAAGAAGATGGGGATGTTCATGGATTTCAGACGGAGCAAACCCCCCCCCCCCCCCCCCCCCCCCGGAACATAGGAGGATCTGCAGTGGAAGTGGTCTCCATCTACAAGTACTACTTGGGTGTGCACCTGAATGACACCCTCAGCTGGGGCAACAACACTTCCAGCCTGATCAAGAAAGCTAATCAGAGACGTTACTTCCTCAGACGGCTTAGATGAGCTGGTCTGGGAAGCTCAGTCCTCACCTTTTTCTACAGATGTGCAGTGGAGAGCATCCTGTGCTCCAGCATCAACATGTGGCATGGAGGCTGCACAGAAGTCTGTTGTAGTCAGCCTCCCCACCATCACAGACATCTACACCTCAAGATGCAGGAAGAGGGCCACCTGCATCATGAAGGGCCCCACTCACCCAGCACACACTATTTTGCCCCACTGCCCCACAGGATGTAGGTTGAGGAGCATTAAGTGTAGAACCACTAGACTGAGGAACAGCTTCTACACTGAAGCTGTTAGACTCATCAATGTCTAACCAGGAAAATCACTGTAATGTCACTTTAATTGTTGATATGTGACTGTGCTGCTGATTATCTCATTCTGCTGACTTTCATGCTGTATTCATTCATACCCATCTGCTCACCACAGACTTGTTCAGGCTGCTCCTGTTACATCGTTTTATTTACAATATTAGTGTTTATTGTATATCTTAGATCCTTGTATACTGTTTCTTTTTATACTATATATTTTTGCTATTTTGGGGTGTAACTGGAACCCATAGTACATAATTTTGTTCCACCTTGTACCAAATGTGATGCGAATGACAGTAAAGCTGCTTGAATTTGATATGTACTGTACAGTACTTCTAAATTTTATATGGGTATTCGTTTGCTCTGTAGAACAGCAGCTCAGTTCCGGTCCGGCTCAGTTCCAGTTCTGCGGATCTATCCTGCAGTGACAAAGTCCACCGTCCCGTCCAGATGTTTGCATGGATAATTGAGCTTCAGGAAGCTTCAGGATTATTTGAGACTTTCCTGCCAGTTCTGTGAGCTTCATAGATAGATCGTAACTTCTGGCTTTACGTTACAAAACTTTACCTCCATTTTGGTAGAAACCGGCGGCTAGAAGCACTGTTGGCTTCTGGGTGGTGTAGTTCTTTTGACTTGTGTTACAGTGTAGGCTTATTGAAAGAAAACCACAAAATGGTAGCACCTTTCTGAAGTATTTTTTTCTTTATTTTATGTTAAAAACCACAAAAGAGTGAGTCTGTGAAAGTCTAATCACGAAGTAGTGAGGGACTACTGTTCAAGTGAATAAAATATTAATCTTTGTAGTTGTCATGTGTGAATGTTTAATTTACGGTGAACCTAATGAGCCCTCTTCATCTTACAGCTTTCTAAGGAGGACTGTCGTGATGCTCTGGAGATGATCTGTAACCTGGACTCGGATGGAGATGACCAAGCAGCGTTCACTTTATGTTCTGCCTTTCTGACCCGGCAGATTCTTCATGGAGACACATATTGTGCTTGGTAAGACGTTTGGGACTTCTTTCTCTTTGTAGTTTCATTGTAGAGAAGACGCACACAATCACATCCTCGGGGTTGCAGCTAGTAGACATTCAAGCAGTCAGGTATTGTGTGTTACAAAATATATATTAAATAAAGAAACACCTTTGTAGTGAACTAGGCCTCCGATCAAAACCTGCCTCTGAAGACCTTCATGGGACAGGAACTCTTATTTCATTGATTTGAATCCAGAAATACAAATTAGCTCATCCAGAGACGTTCTAATTGTATCCTGAACTAATCAATTGAAAGAACACTCTCTTTTTTATATTATCATTACTATTTTACAATATCTTGATAATCAAAAGTGTGTTTAGTTCATACCATTTTTAAATGTTGAAGTGAACCACTCATTTTAAATCAACTGTGAAACAGTATTAATGATTTTTTAATCCTCATTCAAATTAGAAATCAAGTTAAATGTCTATTTTACAAAGTAATTATGCATTTTTTGATCTTCTGTCTGAAATGAGAGTGATGTCGGTCAAAAGTCGGAGACATTCGAAAACAAGTTGTTGGAACAGGCTGTCGTGTTTTTAAAGCTCTCAAACAAGAAAAAAACAAGAGAACTGGCACCTGCAGTGTTTCTCACTTCGTCAAAACTTTCTCTCTGTTCCTAAACATTTCTGCTGTTTTCTCGACTTGTAAAAACCCTTTGACATCACTAGAACCACACCCCTGTTGGTTGCTTCAACCAATCAGGACTTCCTAAAAGTGACCGGGAGCAGAACTCTTTAAAAGTCGACACTTCCTGGAACTGTTAGTTCTCTTGGAGTTGCTCTGAGTCTTTTGAGTTCTTCTGAGTCTCTTCTGAGTTTGTCTCAGTCTTCAGTCTTCTGAGTCGAGTTGGGACTATGGAGTCTTCCACATCTGAGTGGAACCACTGACGGACTCACAGCTTGATGTGTATCCACCCGGGAGATGAGCGTGTTTGTTGAACGGAGTACCGTCACTACTTAGGACGATTCTCAGCCATCCTTAACGGAGACGCTGAAAGGTAGCATTGAAATGGAACTCCGTACCGGAGCTGACCTATCTTCTGCAAAGGTAACGAGTCGCTTCACTACCGAGTGTACCGGGGCTGAGCTGGGGTCGGATGAAGGGTGCCATTCCTAGTCAGCACACTTTCCCTCATCCATCTTTTCTCTCCATTTAAACTCCTTCATTTCCCATCTTTAAACTTCTATCTTGCCAGTAATTAATCCAGATGCCTTCAGAAATGTCTGTTGTTTTTATTAAGTAAAACGTGCCAAGTTTTATTAATCAGAACCAGATCAGTCTAATCAAGTGTACAATGTTTTGATGTTAAAACCCACAAAATAGAACCGGAGTCCTAAGGGGGAGTGGTGGCGCAGAGGTTAGAGAGGTGGGCTTGTGATCCAAAGATCGCCGGTTCACGCCCCGGCCCCGACAACATCAAAATTGTGGGTGGGGTAGGTGAAACACCCACACTTGCCCCCACCCTCATTCGCCCCACTCTGGGCCCATGAGCAAGGCCCTTAACCCCCACCATGTGCTCCCTAAACAGGTCTCTCTTGAAAATGAGTTCTCGTGGCTCAATGAGACTACCTGTATAAATAAAGGCTAAATGAAAAAAAAAAAAAAAAAAGTTTTGATGTTAAATTTTGATTCTGTTAATAAATGACCACATTTATTTTGATGGGTCAAAGAAAATTAACGTCTCATGTCACTGATTAAACCATCTACGCACAGTATCTCCGTCACATATCTGTCAAGTAGCTCGAAAAAGAGAGAACCCGTTATTAAAATATGACTGTAGTGTAGCTGAAGCTAATCGAGCATTTTAGATACACTACACCTTCTCTGTTCATTGTTTCAATTAGGGGTGCGAATCTCAGTGTCTGGCGAACCTATTCGATTCCGATATTTTTGGTGTCACGATACGATTCAGAAACGATTTTTCCATTGAAATGGTTATAAATTTTGATTCAGTCAAGCTGAAAAGATTAAACAACAATGTAAACAAAAAGAACATTTATTTAAAACAATCATTTTAGGTTCCTTACTGTATCAAATATTTTTTCTTAATTTTATATTTATACCAAAAATAGGAAAAAATATAGGAGTGCATAAAATTCTGTAACTTAAATTACCAGTATTAGGTTAGCTTAGTTGCCTGAATTTTTCTAAAAAATAAAAAAATCTAGGAACAAATAATTCATCCATCATCTTTACCCACTTCTTCCTTTTCAAGTCACAGGTGTCACTGGTGCCCATATCATCTATCACTTTGTGAGAGGTGGGGGACACCTGGACAGGTCTCCAGTCCATCACAGACAAATAATTCAAAATATATAAATACAAAAGTAAACAGACCTCAGCCTACCATAGTACATTAACCTTTAACTCAACATAAAATACAGACTTCAGTTATGTTTAACCATATTGCTCCAACATTTGCTATATTTTCAAAACTTAACCTAATATGAATATACAGACTTCACAGTTATAACCATATTGATTCATATTTAGTAAAAATTTAACAAAATTTCAAAACCTGTGCAAGTTTGCACAAAAACCTCTTCTGAACCGTGATTTGTAAACCATCTAAATTGTATAATTTAGAACTGGCTCCTGGCAATGTGTCTCATGTGGCCTGTTCAACCTGTTAAAAGACGTATTGCATTAAGTTAATTTTATAACTTGTCTATAAGTTTTAGTATAATATTAGAAAAAACTGTTGCCTTTGAGCTGCAGCTGCATCAGAGCTTCTCCCATTTGTTGTTTCATGGTGAAGTTATGGTGCTGCTTTATTGCAAAAAAAAAAAAAATCTACATGAAGGAATAACGTACATTGAATCCAGCGTATTAAAAATAAACCTGAACCCCTCGCCTTCCACTGAGCTGTCCGATTGTAAATCCTTTGTGATATAGCAGGAGATGGAGAGGGAAATATTTGCAGCCATTGGGGAAGCCTGGAAGTTTGTTGCAGAGTTCGCTGGTCGGCTGCTTCGCTTTCATCTTCCGTGCATTTTGTCGTATTTCCAAAATACTGTACCGTAATTTTATTTTACACTTCTTGCAAACAACCGTGCTCTTGTTAAGCTCCGTCTTTCCCGGAACATTGTAGGATTTGAAATGATTTTTAAAGACGAAGTGGTGTCAACGCAAAAATAGAAAGAGGGGGCAGGTGTCGCTCTTGCTTTGAGTTTATACTCTTTGTTGCATGCGTGCTGTGGGTGAAATGCGTCCAGAGCGGAGGACTTGTTAGCAAACAGTAGAGTCCTAACATTTATTAAACATTACTTTTGTATTTAAAAAAACACACACACACACACAAATTGTGCTTTGACAAACTTAAAAAAAAAAATTGTTAAAGAGGAAGAGGGGCAGGTAACTCTTTCGCTTTGAGTTTATACACTGTCGCATGTGTGCTGTGTAGGATGCACCGATTGCAGTTTTCTGGCCGATCACCAATTTCTAAAAAGTCTGACCTGCCAATTCCGATTTTGG